CCCCCCCCCCCCCCCCCAAAGTTAAAAAGTGCCTGCTTCATTCACAAAGTATCTCGATTTGTTCATAAACTTTGCAGTACTATGTAATAAGGTTATTTATTGAGAGTATAAAGTAGAACTGTGAAAGAGGGGAAAAGTCAAATGGTGTTATTGTTTTTGATTCTCGTTCTCTCTCAAAAAATAATGAAGCGGTGACTGTAAAGAGTCGATTTTTTCTTGAAGGGCAAAGAAGGTGAGCCAACGACTGTAAAGGGTAAAATCACTGGATTATCTCCCGGTTTGCACGGATTTCACGTTCATCAATATGGTGATACCACAAACGGATGTATATCTGCTGGACCTCATTTTAATCCATTCAACAAAACGCATGCTGGTCCTGAGGTTGAGGTTTCACTTTTTCAAAGTGTTTTTGAACCATTGATTCCATGGAATCATTCAAAAAAGTGCATTTTTCTAGTGATCTGTTATTTTTAATGATTAAACGATTGAAGGATGCAACACGTCATGTTGGTGATCTTGGTAACGTAAAGGCAGATGCAAATGGCGTAGCCGAATTTGAGATCGTTGATAAACTTGTTCAGGTTTTTATTTTGAATTGCTTCAGCCACTGAATTTTTCACTGATGTAAATTCATTGTCAGTTCGTTTTCATCTAATTTCGGCTTTTTCTTAATCCAGTTAATTTATTTGCACAGTATTTTCAGCTGAAATAAATTTTCTCATGGGTAGATGATTTTTATATTAATGTGTGGATAGAATGTTGCACCAAAATTACTGCGTGTTTTGATGAAAGATAAAGTTTACTGATGTATGGAAAAAATGGTCATTAGTGAATGAATACGATTTGCTGAGGCTATAAGCTTATCGATTTGGCAGATTCATGGTGCGAATTCGGTGATAGGTCGTTCGTTGGTTGTGCATGTAGGAGAGGATGACTTGGGTAAGGGTACAGGAGATAAGAAAGAAGAGAGCTTGAAGACGGGAAATGCCGGTGCACGTGCTGCATGCGGAGTGATAGCTGTTGCGGCACCGTGCGAACACTGAAGTGTGTTTCGTTTTTTTGGTGTATTCTCGTTCGCTTTTTCAAAGTTTCTTTTAGAAATATCATATTTATCTGTTGAGTTGTTATTAATTGTTTAACGCTTTCATTTTTATTCCCAGAACAATTTGCATGTTTGCACATTAGATTTTGTTAAATTGATATATGATGAGAAGACGACGGAATCTGCAACAGTCACATAAAGGAAAGTTAATGAGCAAATGAACTCGTTCTAACAGTTGAAACTATTCCAAAGAATCATAAATGTATGTTGTGTACCAAATGAACTTTATCTCTGAGGTGCACGTATCACAACCGAAATGGTCATCCAGTGTAAAGTGAGTGAGTTTTGTTGATGTCGAAATGTGATAATGGTCATAGCATTTGACACACATTAGCTTGTTCAATTTGTGATATTTTCTTGACGCCAGATCGTTTTCACAGCAAATGGTAGCTGTTGCGAAGTTTAATTGTTGACTCCATCTCTTGTGCGTCGACGTTTAATTCAACTGTTCTGTTTTATTTTCCACGCATTTTGACAAATCTGTTGATCTATCATTTTTACATTCATATCTTTTGAATAAATAATTCGCTGCATTTTCTTGTGTATCACGTTTGAAACTCACATATAACAGAATTGGACTTATTGTTTAATCAAATGATTCAAACGATGATTAATGGGCTGTTAGAGCAAATAAATAATTCAAATTAGATGACATCAAATTTTGCGGAAATGTTATGAAAAGATACTGGTGAATCGGTATGAGATTACTTCGTGGCTGGGTGAATAGATGCTTATAAATGAATCGAATCATAATTTCTTACTTACATGTGTTTGGGTATTTTATAATTATAGGTAAAGAAAAAATTCAGAAGGGAAAATGAATCGTTTGTTTGATATTTGCGTGGATTACGAGTCATATTCTCTGATACTTCACTAGAAGTGAAGTGTCAACTTTGGAATACCAACCAAAATGGTAAATACTTTTTGTGAAACGCAAGTGTAAAAGAATTTTTATTGATAGCACATATCTAGCTTTTGCTTTTGAATGTTACCTCTCAAAGTAATTGCGTCGTACTGAAACAGTGTTTGATCCGACAACAGAATACTAGCTCTTTCAAAATGCAATGGAGACTTGATATAGTTTAAGCGTGAATGTTTTTAAAGAATAACTACAATTTGCGTTTTTACAAGCTGAGTGTTATCAGAGGTTTTTTTTTTCGAAAAAATCAACTTAGCTCAGATAGAGTGGACTGAAATCGAACGGAAAGAATAGCTGGTTGATCTTGTGATTGAATCGTTCTTGATCGGAAGCATGCTCACTGTTAATCCGTCGAATTGTTGCAATCTGATAAAAACGTTGTTAAAATGCAGTCATCTGTTACGACAGAGCCACTGCTATGACCGTATCATTGATTGTGCACGGTTAGTTTTTGATTTGAAATGTTGCATTATAATCGAATAATTTTTTAGTTACCGAACATCTCTCTTTGCAGAAAATGCCATATGTGACTAGTTATATCATGCGAAGCAATGTTGTTGAAGTTGTCATACATTCAGAAATGATCGACTGTTATATCATTCCTCATTGTTCCCATCCTCTTGAATATGCTTTCACAATTTAGCGGAAATATTGATTGAAATCGCAATTCATCTGAATATATTCGTTTGATGTTAATTGATCAATGCGTTGATCAATATCCATGTCAGTCGGTCTCTCATGCGCATGATTCCTAATTGATTACCAGTCTAAACCCCGCTCAATCGCTACGAACTAAAGGTTCCCTTATGTCAGTCGAGTATCGCACCTTATAAAACGTTGCCATCTTATCTTCAACATTCGTATATTCTTATAATAAAAGGACCATTACAATAAAAGAACTGATTTGATTGATTCTATGATGTTTTTAACCGTAAAGCTCTTGAACTGGTTCAGTATTCGGACGGCGGCGATGACATCTCATATTAATGCTGCGTTTTCTGAAATTTCGAATTCACTTTCTTCACTTGATCGTATGCATGAACAGTTATTTTTCAGAGCAGAAAGATGGTTACATCTTGATCAGAGAATTTGATTTCCTCTTTATTTATCGACTAAAATTTGATCGAAGAACGAGCACAATTTCAAGCTGTTACTCACATCAATAATCAATTGCACTTATGTTGAGCTGGATATTCCTTATAATTAGATTATTCGCTAATGGCCTCTGATGAATTAAGTATAATCAGAGGACAGTGAAGATCAAACCCATAAGAATAAACAATAGGAAATGAAACTGTGTCAAGAAGACTGTAGATAAGAGTAACATCGCTGGCCAGCGTTGTTTTAAAATTTTCTTCGGTCAGGAACTTTCCAGTGAATCAGGCAACAACAAATTGACAACATTTGACTTAATTACTTCTAATTACTACGTGATAACATTGTCACCTTCACCAATCCATTACAACAACAGCAGATAAACAATGCATTTATTGACGAGGTTACATCTCAGTGGCAACTAAAAATCGCCACAATTAGTCGTATCATTCTGAATGAAGTGAACATCTCGCTAAGTGTAGTCTCATGTGATATCCAAGACAAACTTTTTTTTACCAATCAGAATATACTGACATCCCTCCGAGCAGCTCTACTGTTGCTTTTTCACCATCTCAATATCCCGATGAAAATGCCCTCATTGCACCTCGCTTTGTTTACCACAGTTAATCGGAAAGTAGTCCCAATGAGAATTCAATGAGTGCATTTTGAATGATATGCGAACATTGAGTTGATGAAGCTTCATCCAAACTTCTTCAGTCAACTTTTCGTAGTACCTATTATGTCATTTAACCGAAAAAATTACTGCAATTAAATGGAATGGGTTCCACGCATTTGTTATGTTTTCTTTCAAATTCACTTCAAACTTAACATTCTTAAACAGCTGAACGTGAAATTAGTTCTCCTAAAATTTAACGTTTTTTTAGTTTTTTTGTGAACTATATTCTCAAAATGGGACGTTGAACTGTTAAGGTAGTAACAAGTAAAAGTTTCCTTCACCTTCATTTAAATCGCTGATGCAACCTGAGCTGATACTTTTTATTTAATTTCAATTTGTATCCGAATAATTCATGACTATGGTTAGTATTCGAGAGGGTGTAAGTTTTTGGTTAAGGGAAAATACGTCGAAGAGCAATTAGTCAAAGTGGGACATCTCAAGCAGGAAGTCGAGAGTGAGACCATCGAAGAATAGCTCATCTGTTGCGATTCAAGCCTTCTGACAAAAGCTAAGTATAATACATGACAGCGTTGGTTTAGAGGATCACAGTTGTTTAGTCATGCTTGGACGTTGCTGTTCAAATATTTCAGTTTGTGTGCTGTATTTCCCATAACATTTGATGGATATTAAAACTTTGATGGATATTAAATGGATATTGAAATTTAGTTTGTTGTTCACCAAAATTGGTACGGTTTTGATCTATTGAAACTTTTGAATCCATTCATTCATTAATAAATTCATATGCAGCATTTTTTGTGAAGAGTTTTTGTCTCATTCTAAAATTCCTTTCCATAGTCCTTTCTGCAACTTTTTTTGAATAAAGTTTCTGTTTTTTTTAATGCTCTTTTTTCTTTAAGGGTAAGAAAACACTCAAATAGAATCCATCTTTATAAATTACCCATCATTCCATCTATTCTTATTCATTTTCAAAGTGTTATTTAATGTCGGTGTTTTTTTATTATTGCTGTTTTAAATGAAATACGTCGAAAACATTCAAAAAACATCTCGGGATAACGCATGAAACAAGATTTGTGTTTCTTGCTGTTGTCTTCACGGTATGACACCAATTAAAGAAATTGGTTTCCAACCGGCTCGCTTGTTGAGAATTTATTGCACTAACGATTGCGATGATTGTGCAAGAAATACCGAGAAAATGTTTCACTTTTGTATGATCAAATGCAAGTGATTGAAGCTGAATGTACTACATTTATTAATAGCACTTTCAAGTTTGTGAACAGCATTCAGCGAATGAATTAATTCATCGTATGCAAATTTGGATTAGTGTTGTGCGAAGTGGATGATTGCTACTTGAGAAGCATATTGAAACATCATTTCAAGATTCTGTCACGGATGTACTTGCTGAATAGCGAACACTCATCTTCATCGTTCCTCTCAAAGTTCTTTCGAATCGAATCATCTCTGGTGATCTCGATTGAAGTGGTAAATTTGATCGCTTCAGGTTATAAAACAAAATGCTTGACCAAGCAGTTGAACTGAAGTTAAAATGTGAATAGTTGCTGAAGATTGGAATAACTACCACGTTGTGAACGAACAAATATTTTGTTTGTTATTTTTAATTTTGCTCATTTGATTCACATAATCGTTTTCTGTTTAACAAAAAGTATGCCTTCTTTGCAAAACGGATCCATCGCAATAAAACCATTTCTCTTCATTATTTTCAGTTTTACTGAAACCAACCCTGATTCTAATTGTGTTGAGGCCTATAGCCATATGGTCTCATTCATGCTTCATCAATAAGACCTTTCAAGTGTTTTTATTTATGTTCTAGTGGTGATTCATTAGGTTAACTCTAATCTATATCGCACGAATGCCTTTTTGGTCACAGCCACACGATGAAAATCAACGTTGAATATTATCCTTCAAATTTTTTTCGTTATTTTCTCTTTCCCATACACATTTTTCTCGCTTCCAATTTTTGTCATTCAAGAATTCTTATGTTTATTTCTTCAATCGCAATACAGATTTCAATAAAGTGTACGTTCAGATCGCCGTATTTTTATCCATCCTCAATTAACATGTGCAGATTTGACATTGCCATACCTAATGTTCTTCATAACTGACGGAAGATTTATTTGTCAGAGAGTAATATTGCAGAATTGAGATTATGAGGAAAGAGATGACAGATAACCTTGTTAATTTTTAATTGCTCTTCTTCTCTTATTCATCATGAACATTCCTAATGCTTACCGTTAAAAACAGAACTAATCCTAACAACGTATCAGCATACATTGTTAGGAATCATTAGTTTCCAGAGTAGTATCAGAACGTTGATAAGTTCCAAATCGACATTCATTGTGACCATTGTGATATCTTTCACCTGCTCATCGAAATTTCTTGTTGTTCCATCCGATCTTCTAGCTGTGTCATAATCTTGTCAACATAACATCTTCTCTTATTTTAGAAGCAACCCTCTCTGATCCATCGCTTCCAACCTCAGCTCTTATATTCATGTCTTTCCGCTGTATTTACTACATGAGGGTCATCGAATGAAAATTCGTTCATTTATTTAAATGAAATATCATGACAAATTTTTAAACACACTAGTAACTTTTTCATATATCGATCACCTTTTCTGCGTTGATTTCATTTTTTTGCGGTACTATGCATGCTTTGGTGTACGATCCTGTTCATAGCAAACGAATTGCAACGGATTTTGAGATTTTTTTCGGAGAGTGTCTCGATTGTAACTAATCTTTTCAGCTTTATGGAACATTGACCAAGTTTATGTGCCATCAAAATTTCGGTCAAAAATGCAGTCAATTACGGACAGATAATAAACAAGGGAATTTTGAAAAACGATATGTCAAAACTCAATTGTATTTCACCTTAAAGCGCCTAATCGAATTACGTGCTAAAAAATGATTGTACAAACGTATTGGCTGTTGTGTTCAGTATTGCTCACTTCATCCTAATTTTTTGCAAAGTAATCATTTCACATTTAAGAATTGCAGTAAAATATAACGCAATAACAAAAACCAGTAAAAAATGAAAATCTTTTCGAGTTTTTGAACATTTGCTGATTTGAACTTGAATGAGCGCAAAAATTTGCCAGAAATTCATGAATAGCGATATTCAGCAAAACGAACGTGTTTGAATTCATGCAGTATTTTGGAATAATTCAGAAACACCAATGAATGAACGTCGAAGATCAAAAGGAGGAATGCTTTTCTTCGAATGCAACATTAAACAATAAGTTGCAATATTAAAATGATACCATATAATATTTATCAATTAAATGCAGCCTAAAATTGAGATGAAATCCGATTGAACACAGCGATTGTGAGGCTATTTGAATATGACTATCGCATGAATGTTTCAGAAAGAAATTCTTGAGTCATTTGATAATTTGCTCGAAATCATTCAATTACTATCCATCGTTCAATAATCGCATGATTATTATCTTTTCGACTATGACGTCTCATTTCAGTTTGTGTTAAATGTAGTCAGAGGAATAACGAATTTGCTCGATCGCTTGAACTGCTTTTCGTTAAGCAGTAATATCGCATTTTAATCGTTCTAAATTTCACAATTTTCGATATTCCCCGTAAAATAACGATTCTATTCATTTATTATTGCTTAATTACGCTCTTCAACGTGCACGCCCCCTCTCCGCCCAGAGCAATTACTCCTCAACGATTACTAATCACCACTTCAGGTTCATTGGTTCCGGGACGTTTTCAAGTGATGGTCTTAACTAAGTTCTATTGCTACCGTTCCTTTTTTATAACCTCTTATTTTCTGAGAAATGTATTCCTTCCAAGTTTTATTTTCAAAAACAGCAAATGTGCTTTGATTGTTTCAATGGTTGCATGTTTTATGACACGTTTTATGACCTATGAACTTTTCTCGGCTAAATTGATCTGCTCACTAAATTGTTTCACAATTTAAGTAGAACGAGAAGCGAACAGAGCAAGCGAGCAGAAATCAACATCGTATTACTTAAGATCATAAGACTTGATTGGAAATTAATCTTACGTTTAGCATAAAGAAAATCTCATCATGCACTTTTTAATTGGTTTATCAGGGCAAGACCTATCAGTTAATGTGAATAAATGCCGTATGAATGCTACCAAATGAAATATTCACGGCTCACCAAAACATCCAATTGAATCAAGTGCATCATATTACTTTATTCAAATTTTCCAATATCTATGCATGAACCCATTAAGAAGATCTGGCCTATATAATTCCACCATCCTCTCCATAAGCAAATGTCACATTACGCAATAACAAATGATCAGTCTCAGTTGCACTGTTTGTATTATGAAAACGACTAATTGTAAGTATGAATTCATTTTGAAGCGTCAACTTGGATTAATCTTCAACTAAGTTCCAAAAAAAAAAAACAATAATAATGCTTGATCGTATTGTTCGATCCAGTATGATGGAGCATCTTACTCTTGAGAAGACTCTTTAACGATAGCCTATACATTCAGCGTGCCTTCGTCCTTTGACTAAAATATAGTTGCATGACGTATGTATGAGCAGATTTTCCTATGAATAAATGTTCACAGAAACTTGTGCAACAATTTCACCCTACTGTATTGCTCATTTTGATAATTCTTACCATAAGGTTGCGTGAAGAAAATGCTATCTAACGTACTGGTAGCAACTGAGATGAGTATTTTCTTGTAGATTCTAATGATAGAAACAGTCAGCGGATAAAATTTTCCGGTTGATAATTGAACCTGAAATGGCAGTAACGTTAAGTTATAAACGGAACGACACAGAAATTAAACTGGACACTCAACAGTTGACAGTTCAAGCAGGTTTAGTTGGTAGACGTATCTCATTTTTATGGTTGTGTTTATGTGTTTCTGATTTTTCAATTTGCAGAATCCTTTATGAGACTATTTGCGTATTTGACTCTACCAACTTTATCCGATTTGTGCTCGTATGTTGACGTTCCTTTGAAGTCTAGCCAATCGACATCATTCCAGTAATTACGATGCGCTTCAGGATACAGTAGAATGTAAATACTTTTGAATCATTAAAATTTTACCGCACATTTAAACAAATAAATGAGTCCTTGTGAACAACGAATAACTTTTTCTTGTCCACTTGATTTTTTGAGATTATTTGGACCATTGAACGTGATGTGATCTCTTTTCCTGGAGCAATGCGATTCTCGTCTTTGAGCTCCATTTCATCAAAAGTTTATTCATGTTTTCATTATAGGAATTTAGTTGCGTCATTTGAGTATGGATTTTGAGTGGATATCTTTCGAATTGATGTTCGTCACAAAATTTCATGCCACTATATTATTACTGAGTTATTCTCTCCAACACCCCCATTGAGATTTTAAGAATTTTACTGACTTTGGCGATTATTATATACTTATACAATCAAAAACATTTGATTATAGATGAGCATTGATTAGATGATCACCTATGTCCACTCATTGATTCATTCCAATAAAATCTGAACTATAATTTAGAATTTCAATAATTATACTAATCATAAAAGGATCTCTCATTTAATAAATTGTTGAGCTGTATTGTAATGCTGTTATTTCGACAGCCGTCAGGGTAGATAAATTTATTCGAGTATGAACTGGTTCATCAATGGTTTGTTTCATTGTGATGACCGTACCGATTGACGGAACGCTTTTTATCAGTCTATATAATCGTTTTCATTGAGCATACCATTTCATTATTCAACGTTCTGCTTGTCACTGTGATTAGTTCGATATCGCGAGCCCCTTCTCTCGACAAATTGTTTTGATAGGCGAGAATCATCTGCCAAATTTTAGGGACTATCAATGTGATGGTCATGAATTCTGGAATTGTAAATTTACTTACGGGAAATAGTTTATGGAAGGAGCTTTCTGTGAAATTAGCTGTTTAACAGCAGTGATTCATTAAACATTCAGTTGAACACTGGGGCTTTTGCGAACAGCGATTTGATCCCAAACTCGATTGAATCCTAACTGTACATTACTGTCAATTTTCATTGTTGCTTAAAGCTCGTCCTCAAATATGCTTAAATGGAAACTTGGAACGTGTGTGGTCGTCGGTATCATGTGCTTTGCCACTCATTCTACTGCAATTTCGAAAAACCAGCGACGGATACATTCAATTTCAACATTTCAAAACAAAAATGGGCCTATCGGTCCGCCAAGAACTGGCAATATAAAGGTAATATTGGACTTCTTTCTAAGGATGAGGCATTCCTTAAATATCGATTGTGTCAACTACCAATAATCGTGTTTTTGTTACACCACGATTTTTTTTTAAATACTGAGAGCAAAATTCGACGATGCAAACTCTGTAATGAAGTAAACAAATCAGATAATAATAAATGAATCCTTCCATACAACTTCAGAAGCGAGAAAATGCAATTGAAAATGGCGACTATTATGATTATTACGATGATAACGAAATAAAAACAATGCACAGAACCCTAACTATTGAAGAAGAAGAAAGAAAACGTACAGCCAAACCACCAGGTTCTATGCTTTTGTGGCTTGAAGCATTCAGCGAGATGAATTCAAAGACGGAATCAATAGAATAAAAGATCTAATTTCAAAGTTTCGTTTCGTTGAGAAACAACAATTGACCTCATTCGATTTCTTCATTGAATTCAGTGACGCATTTCGTTCATCATTGAATTGTTTTTTGAAGATCGCATTCCTAGACCGATGGCTCAAACATTCGTTCAAGATCCTAATTTCATTTACCACTTGTCTCTTTAACTAACAATTATTTATTGGCACCTGAAGGTTTACATTCTCGAAGTGATCAATCATAACAAAGATCTTTCATGTACATCCACCTATTTTTACCAAGTGATTTCACTTGGTAAAAATAGTTGGATCAAGAATAAATCATGGAAGTGATTTCACTTATTTTATATTTTTAGATTTAGGTTACGTTCATTTTTTCGCACTCAATGCTCTGATACACCACTCACTAATGCTAAAGTAGAACTGAAAGTAGAATTTTATTTTCGCGCTAATGATCGAACAATTCCAGTGACCTTTCTGTCCTCTAGTAGAGGTCATGCATTCATTTTATACATGAGACCAATCAGATTTGTTTAATGCGGCATATTTATCATGAATCTAGTTTGACATTCACTTTGGTTCAGTTTTTCTTATGCATCCAGTTTCACGGCATCTCATTAAATGTTCCGAAAAAATGATCAATAGGAGTGTTTGATTAACATTAACGGAAGATACGTCCTTTAAGTTAACGAATTGGAATTCACCATTTACCTCTCTTTTTTGAGGAAGCCATCCTACTGTTTCCATTTGAAAGTTATTCCATTTGTAAAAGTTATCACGGAAAATTCTTTTGAAATTTTGTGTAAATTTACATTCCTAAATTTGCTGATATAGTATGAATAGCACAGACAATAGCGAGCGTTTTTATGTAGAAAATGGAATAACAATAATGAAAATATAGAATCAGTTTTATGAGCAAAACTAATGAAGCGATGGCACAGGGTTTGGTCCACCTTCGTCGTCATCAGCCGAGCGATTCATGGATGAAAACAATACACAGTCACTGTTTGTAGTCGGCATCGAGCACAGCATTACGTCTGTGATTGGTCCACCAGGCAAGAGAATCTAACATGCAGATTAGCGAACAATTATTAAGTTGATCGATTGAACATCGAATACTAAGAATCACATAAAATATGTTTGTCATCCTCACCTATGATTGATGATACCCAGCATCACTTGATGCATAAGCATCAAGTAGTGCTGAATGCAAGCACCTCATTCAGAAATTTTAGCTGTTGAATTCTATGAAACTCAGGAATCAAACCACCAAAATCGATGCAGCAAACTATTGCTGAGTTCATTTCAACAACCAATTTTCCTCAATTACCAGTTCACTTACGAACTGACACGACAACACTTACACCAGCTCCATCCACCAATCGTCCTTCAACTAATGAACGACCATTCTCTGGTCCACTCAACTTCGTGCAGCCTGATCAACCGTTTCAGGTAGCCCATCAGTGCATAAAATCAAACTATATTTTCAACCTGATTTCTTCTAACTGGTGTTGCGATTTTACTTAAAATTGCGCAGTGCAGGTTAGAAGCATATCAAATAACTGATTTATTGCAGAAATAAACTTTAAAACATTATATATGAAATCTTTTACGAGCATAATTGGTATTTACTGCTGCAATATTCCATTGTAATTTGCATTATATTGTAGGTTGGTCGAAATGTTATCGTTAATAGTGGTGGTCAGTCGAGTTCATTACGCCTCAAGTTTGAGAATCTGCCGTCGTTACCTTTGAGGGATGTATTCGTAGGTCATATTCGAATTGCTGAAAATGTTTCATCAACTCATAAGCAGCAAGCAAACAATGAAAGTTCAGACTTCGTTTCAACACTGAGACCTGTTATCAATGATGAAACATCTCTGAAACATGCAGATGTTATGAATAAAATCGAGCTTGATCTACTGCAAGCAAACCCATCATTTAGCACTGATATTGCAGTCAATGATTCCACGAAGCCACAATTGACCTCAGATACGATAACAGCAACACTATCATCAACGACAGTAACAAAACAAACAGCCACTCCAAATTCATCTCTAAGTGATGATTCAAATCAATTCCAAATCTTGTCGGTGCCATCTAATGAATTTGAAATTGTCGACGCAGCCTCCGCACTTAACAAAGATTTTTCTCTTGCAAGCTTCGTTGAAACAACCGATACTTCTGTGTCTACAGATGATAAGAATTTGATCATTCCAACAACCGCAAATCTACAGATGCCAACAGAATCGTCCGAAAGGCATATCACTGAGAACAATTCGAGGAATGCAAGCAACGTGCTTCCAAATGCTGTTTTATCGTTTGTGGATGCAAATATTCAAGATAAATTTCATGTCGGCCACAATATTGTTCGACTGAAACTGAAAACTAATGAAATATCAACTCCAACACATAGTCCTGAAAATTTTGTGAAGAGCTCGTTCAAGAACTCACTCTTAAATCCATCGATAGAGATGCTTAAAAAAGCGAAGCTACTTGAAACATCCGAATCTCCCTTCCCTTTTAATGTCCATCAGCAATCGTCTGAAAACGAGCTTCCGCCTCACAAGCCTGCGATACACAAGAATCGCAACCGTAAACTCAATAAAAAAAAACTGAAGGTTCATGTAACATACGAGACACACTCCACCACAGAGCAACCGACCACAATCGCTGACGATAAATCCCCAGTTAACCAAGCAAACACCAACTTCAAAATTACTCCTGCGATCAGCTTCACCACACAGCCTTTACCCTCCTTATCTGAGCAAACCACAACTTCTCAACACTCATCTGGATATGCTGACGGCAGTGATCGTTCACTCCAAGACAAGCAATCATCAGATAAGCCCGTATCTGAGCGTCTAATTGCTGATATAGAATCATCCTTTTATAGCGAAGCTGCTCCTGTAGAACAATCTAAAGAGCAACTTGAAAGCGTTACTACCCACGTGGATCAAGACCAAACGTTCAGAATCGATGTGAGTAAAATGCGATCGATTCTAGATAAATACTTACCAAAGCCATCGTCCACGTTGGAAACGTCAAAAGATGTTACTGTTGGCTTCTCGCAGGAGGCATTCAGTGAAAAACAGCGCAATAAACTGATTGATGATATTCTTTCAGCAATTGAATCAGTGCAGAAATTCAGTGAAAGCGTGCGGAGGGAAATGCGACAAGGTTAAGCATTTCAACAATTCTTGTTTCATTTTCACTTTAAATAGAGGAATAAATGAACGTCAAGGCTTTAAGAAAGCGAAATGTTCATACATATTGCATATAGCATTCTTTTGGCTCTTCTCAGTTAGCAACTGTGTTGAATATCTTTAAAGAGTGAAATTTGATCGTCTAAAACAGTGCTTCTCAACCAGTTTTCGTTCGCAATCCCTGGAAAATTTTAAGATGTCCCCGCACCCCTTGCAACATCATTTAAATGTTCTCGCACTCCTCACAACAACCATTTCGTATCTCTCATCTACTACGCGTGTAGATCAGGGTTTCTCAATCGGGTGTGCTCGCACCTCCAAGAGGTGCAAGATGATATTCCAGGGGGTGCGAGGCAAAGTTTTATTTTCCAACGGATGAAAGATAAGGTTTTTACACTGAAGTAGACAAGAGCGGATTTCAACGAACACATGTGTATACAGTAAGCCAGGATGGACTTTAACGTTTATGTTTTGAATGCAGTGCAATCTGATGGCATATAGGGTACCCGGTCAATCTGTCTAAAGACATTTAGTCTAATGACAGTTTGCCTAAAGACACATTGCCTAACGGACAGCTTGCCTAACGGAAAGTTTGCCTAACGGACAGTTTGCTTAAGGAACAGTTTGGCTATTAGGCGAAATATCCATTAAAAAACTGTAAGTTAGGCAAACTATCCGTTAGGCAATGTGTCTTTAGGCAAACTGTCGTTCGACCAAATGTCTTTAGACAGATTGACCGGTCAGGGTATATACACTTATCTACACTGCAGACACTCATTGCAGTGGATGAGAGGTATAGGGTTGATACTGTGAGGGGTGCGAGGACATATTACTTATTGTTTTATGGGGTGTGAGGACATTTTCTAGGGGTGTGAGGGGGAAAACGGTTGAGAACCACTGTTGTAAATAATTGTATACCATTGAAGCGCGTTCTAGCCTTTTTAGAAATACTTAAGTTATAGTCTACCCTCGCTTTCTTTATACACATGTATGCTTTGAAATCCGCCCTCGTCTGATTTAATCTACAAGAAATAAAACTTTATCTCGCACTTCCTGAAATATCGTTTCACACCCACTGTGGGTGTGAGCACCCCTAGTTGAAAAACTCTCGTCTAAAAAATCAAAATATGTTTCAACAGTGTGTTTGCCGAAGCGTGTCGGTGAACCGTCTCAACAATATGTTTTGCTGTTCTTTCATGAATCGTTGCAAACTCAATGAAGCGTATTTTTCAGTGCTCCAGCAAGGTTTCATTCCAAATTCGCCCAAGATTCATTCAAATACTATCAGACATAAAACACTGCCCACGAACAAAATGATTTCGGCAAATTCAGCTAGGTTGTATGGTTCATTTGCATCTAGCGATCGTGATCCTAGTTCATCTGTGAAGGTTATATCCACCACTAACAAAAATCCGTCACAAATCACAAGTGGAATATCGTCGATAGGTCTCGCTGATTCTTTGCAGGTATTAAAAGTTAGGTTTTTTTTTTTGTTGCATTAGGTGTTTTACAGGCTATTTTCATGTATTGGTTATGCAGAGATATCTCTGAAGGGATAATGATCCTTTTCTCATTCGTTCGGCAATTAAATGTTTTCAGATTAAAAATGGTGCTGTTTTTGTTCCTTTACAAAGAGCTCGTATTGCGTTAGCCACTGCACGTTTCGTTCGACCAGACCAGCTGCGAAAACTTCATCATTAGTTGCCACAGGAGACGTGAACAACAATAAAACAAAGTTTTATTAACAAATAATAACATACTTTTGCTCATACTGAATTTTTTCTTGCAAATCGCTCGCATGAATATTAAGGAATTCACTAATGTTTTTGTTTGTGATTCATTCGTTCATCAGTAAATGAATAATAATATTACGGAGATTCATTAGGTATTTCAAATGAATAACTTATAATTATACGATTGAATTCAATGTGCGATGTTTCATGCATTGAAAAAAAAAAGCTTCACTCAACGAAAAACCATAGACAGTTATATTGTAATGACGAGCCTTCTGGTCTTCCAGGATTTTCGGTTGTTAAGCCATCTGACTCTTCTGCCTTCCGGTTTCGTATGATTGTAGTTTCCGTGGCTTTCTTTCGATTCTAGCGAATTTATTGTTTCGAATTAGCGAATTTTTATGCGCGGTGCGAGAAAAGTGAGAAAAATAAGAAAAGTGAGAGAAATTTCTTAGAGCTCTTCATTATTCTTTACAAAATGAACAAAATTTCGTTTACATTCCTCGTTTGTGAACGTTCCTTTTTCAATTTTGTTATTATAATGTGATGGAAATTCAATGATCAGATGTGTAGGATCACTGTGGAATTAGAAGATTGTATTATTCAATTACTGTTTAGAAAGTATTACTCGTATGGTTTAAGTGTAGACCAGTGGTTCTGAAGACCAGGAGCTTCATTACCCCTTCCGATGGATAAAAATCAAAAATGGATAAAAATCTTAAAATAAATGAATGAAAGGAACAAGCAGTGCGGATTTGGCTTGTTCGAACGGATCTTCGTTTAGAAGACGTCTTGTCAATTCTGACTAACCAGAGCTGGCAAGCAATACACTAGCCAAAGCACCAGAGCGATGGCTATCACCCCATGAGCATAAATCGGCGAGGATAAATTTCTCCAAATCCGTCCAAATCTTACAAAAACACCAACAACTTCGACCTCTGGTTCTAACTCGAAATCAGGGGGAATCGAGTAGCGACTAGTTAGTGAACACCTCGCCGTTACTGGTAATTCAAATTCCATCACCCAAAAGATAACTTTGAATCCATCACTCCGTAAACAGTGCACAACCTAGCAGTCATTCACTAGCCGGGTAGAGCCGATTGAAAGAGCCGTAATAATCACACGAATTGGCCGAAAGGCCAGCTTTCTTAAAGAGCTCTTCCAAAAACGAAAAACAATAATGAAAACATACGAAAAACAACGAAAAAATAACAACACCCCCTCCCCAAAACTTTCAAGCTTTTTACATAGTTCACGTCAAAAATGGAAACCTCACAACGTATAACACAAACCACGTTACAGCACACAACATACCACATTAACATCACATTACAAACATTACAGCATCAACCAAAAAAAAAGAATTCAGGACATCGATTCTTCACCATCGTGAAATCAGGACATCGACCAATGCAACGTGCTTCATGCGTAATCGTAAAGTAGAACACCGTTCTGGAGGAATAAATTTATTATCATCAGATAGAACAATTAAAAAATATTTCTAATAATTATGGCAATATGCTTCGTTTGAAATGAATCCGATGAAACATATGTAAATACCTCAAACCACTAAGCTCGGTTACCCCTATCTGTTACTGTGTTCGTAACAAAAAACTAACGAAGTATGACACGGGAAGTATGAACTCACTGCAAAATGTACAGAAAGTTACAATTCAGTAAAAGCAAAAGATCGTGCAAATTTTGATGAAACTTAAAGAGATCAACAAGAAACTAGAAGTCCTTAAATGTCCTATCTTTACGAAGCAAAGACATACTTTGGCTTGTTAGTTACAATGGCTTGAAAATGGCCGACGGACTAAGAAAAAAATGACTGAAGTTTGGTTTATTGGTTCGATGGCTCTAAAGAAGACCGTTGGTTTAGACTGGCGCTAAAGAGGGCCGTTGGGTTAGATCAGCTCTAAAGAGAGCCGCTGCAGAACCTCACACCCTAGTGTGTACAAGGAAGTGTTGCGTAAAGAACATTTTCTCCTGAAAAAATTAAGCAAATAATTAATAAAGGATAAGATTTCAAATTTATAAATACATATGGAAAAATCTATCTACTCAACTTAATATCTTCCATTGATAAATCAATTGCTGTAACTTTTCAACGGTCGACGGGAAACAGCCATTTCGCTAGTGAATCATCATCCATGTTCCCGATCGAATCCAATCGAATAATGAAAGTTGCTACTATCAGTAATTATAATGCGTCCATGTGCTTATATTTAAACATCATATACATCTCGCTTCATTCAGAAAGTATGTAACTGCTCATTTAACAAGTCAGTCAAAAGTTTTTTTTAACATGGCTTTAGAAGTTTTTGACTCAAGCAGCAAGGTAGATATTGCGCTTCCGTGGAATCTCAACGGTACGACTGCCGGGCTCAACCCGGTGCCGGGATAGGATTGCTCCTTGGGTTATCCGCCCATTCGCCCATTCTCCCGGCCTCCATGCACTCGAACACCTACAAGGGAGCTAGAAAATGCAGTGTTCGTGCCTCTGATCCAACTATAAATGGATGGATCAATATGTAAGAACCATTTAGTGGCCATTTCCGCTCATTTTGTAATACTAATTGTAAGGACCAAATAAAAAGCAATACAACAGGAAAAAAGATGAGGTGGTAAAACAACTAGTCTTTGTGAAAACATGCGTGGCCACTGTTCGTTGTGAAATTTCGGTGACCTCTTTCATCTTTCGTATTGACCCGACCGTCGTGTCCTACTATTCAGTGGGACCATTGAGCAGATGAAACATCTATAACAATTGGAAGTAACAAGCCATTAGATTATAACGCATACATCAATAATGAAGAGGATCGAAAATACTTCAAACATCTCACTATACCAATTTTCTATTGATAAACGCAACACTCGCAAGAATATTTCATTAAAGACGAACAGAAAATGACGTAATTCTATTATCATATCATTGAATGAGGAACGAACAATAAACTTGCTGAATGCGAAATCTATCATATCTAATCACATCATTTGTGTCCTATTTAAAACGTACCCGAAATGACAAGAAAGCGCAAATATGGCTGTGATAGAAGCAAGCTTTGACTGAGAAAGAGTTCAGTCTCACCTCATGAATATGCTAAATTTGTTAATTTCACGCAAATTAAGTACCATTTTCTCAAATAATGTATGAAATCAATCGTACATCTAAAACTAATTAGACTTTAATGAAAAAAATCATGTAGAACATGAGCTGAACGAACAGTTATTTCGTAGTAGAGTCACTTCGGAATCATTGTGTTTAGTTTGTAGCGGTATTTTATAGTGGAAATGAGGGCAAAAATTCATGAGGAAGAGCCTTGAGAGAGCGCGAGAGAGCCTCAGTTGTGAATCACGAATCTCTGTGGAAGTGGACGGTCGTATTGACGAACAGTCTCTAGAACATTGGTTCTCTTGCTCGAGAGCTCCACTGCACTCCTCAATGATCTGACAGACCATTATTACCTCTCTCTCTCCATTGCAAGAATTTACTATTCCTGCGCATCATTTGCTTTTTATGACTATACAAGAACTTACTATTTCTACGTTAAGAACAAACAGGAAACCGGTTCGGAAATTCCTCGTGACGTGAAAAAAATTAACTTTCTGGAATGAGACAAGTATTTTTAGAACATTATTTATCCACTGCAGAAACGACTCAACCTCTGCAATCAGAAACCAAAAGCAATGAAAAAAATCTTCTTCAGCGATAAGAAATGAAATTTAACAACAAGTTCAGTTACTCATGAAGAAGGAAGATGCAATGAATATTTGAGAAACTATCTTCGAGATGAACGAAAAAGCAATCATTCCATCAAAGTGATGGTTAATGAATAAGTAAAAATTCATCGAAAATAAATTCGAACTACCGAGCGCTTTGAGATGCGACAGGTGCATTAAGACTGAAATTCCCATTCTACTTTTCAAGCATTCAATTCATTAACATCATAAGAAATGTTATCCTTCATCACGGAAGAAGTACCGGTTGGAAAGACATTCATAAACGATTGAAGAATTAGAAATTGCAGAAAATGAAAAAAAAGAAGTCGATATCATCAAATACTGAAATACTCGATCGTTCCACACCAAACCAATGATCTTTTCTGTTGTACCAGAGAGCTCAATCAATTTTTGCTGCTCATGAGAGACGATGTTAGCCAATATATTAAAGAACTTATGAAATAACTATGCTAGTAACTTATGTTCAGGTCTAGGCGAGCTAGAGATACTCATTGTCAGAAAATTGATAAAGAAGAGTGTTTCCATGAGTGAGCCGCATTTAGATATCCCAGTGAAAAATATATCATCACTATGTCGTTTCATCATCATGCCAAAACAAAATCAAATATCAGTTTCTTTCAATGAATCCCCAATGTTGATGAGAGACGATGTTAGCCAATGTATTGAAGAACTTATGGAACATTTGTGACTAAACAGAAGTTTGTTTGGCCTGGACGAACTAATGATACTCACATCAGAAAACAGAATAAAGAAGAGTGTTGCTATGGACTAATCGTATTCATACACCCACCCAACTGAGAAAACACCTTCACAATAGCGTTCTATCATAACATAATGACTGTACAAAATAGTAATTTCCCGACCTCCTCCATTATCCCTCGAAACCTCCAAATTACTCGAAATGGGTTATTTCACCCCTATGAGAACCACTGGTGTAGACGAAGAAATCACCTAAATATACGATCCGGAATAGTTAGAGATATGCAATAGGGCCTAGTAAATTTTTCCCTTAGCTGAAAATTTTTTCCGCGATGCAACTTTGAAAATCAGTTAGTTGCGGACTCATATCAAAGTTGAGGCTTAATTGCAATCAATTTTATTTTTCGTTTCTTTTCGTCCTTCTTGAAACAGAATGAACGGATTGGAGGATTCGAAAAGGTAAAAACGGAACGGTAAGGAAAGAGGTTTTTCAAGAAATGGGGAGAACGGCATTCTTTGCCAAATAAAAGTGTTTTCTTCTTATTTCTACGAAGTTTCTGGGGCTCATGACCTTAGCAAACACCCGTAGAGAACTTCGAGCTTGATTTTGTATGTAACCCAGCCTCAAAGCAAAGAATTTGCGAGAAGTATGATTAAAACAACGGGAAATGAGTACAATAAATCGGAAGACTCTCGATTCTACTCTTTATCTTAACTTCTAACGAATCCCAAATCCTCGGAGGTCCTAGACCTAATTTTCCCCTGTTTTAATCTTAATAGGTGCTATTATGATGTATGCATCGTTTTCTAATCTTTCAGTTTTTGATATTTATTGGAACCATTTTCGCAGTTATTGTGGTACACGTGTTGTTTTCAATTCTTTAATTGATATCCCAAAATCCCATTAATGATTCACCAGACCTTAGTTTTCGATTCATTATATCGCATGCTAACTCAATACCGAAGAGTCTGCTTAATCAAGCATTTTCAATATGCTATCCATTTTAGACGAAATTTTGAATGAAATTCCCCAGTTTTAAACCATTTCAAGTTCCAATTGAACAGATCGCTGCAGTAACGTACAAATTCTACTTTTGGTACATACTGATCAATCTTAAACCTGTCATCATTTGGACATGTAATTGTTTTACTAAGTTTGAGTCATTCTTTAAAATTCTGATTAATTGAAATAATAATTGGCAGTTCTTTGTTTCGATTTTTGGTATTCATTATTCCTCAACGATTCATTGATTGATAGAGCTGTTACTGACTGAAGATTACAATAAACTATACTGATCTGACAATCAATCAATCAATCTTTCACGCAGTTCAACTTCACCATGTGAAAGTAGTGGTACAGGTCATAAGCACTCAAAGATAGTGGATCCATTTTTCACTCACGAACATCGATGCTAGGCAAGGAAATAAAGAAAGATCGTTATTTGTATGGGACGGAGCAGAAGGTCGAGAAAATTTTGTGAAGTTGTAAAAATTGATAAGACAAGAACGGAACGAACACAAAACTTAAGGAAGGGAACACAACGAAAGGAAATCAGTAAAAAGTGGAACTGAATCAGAAACTGCCTGAGAGATGTTCCCAAATTGTCAAAATATTTTTAGGGTGCTCGACAACTTCTCTATTTTGTTGGAGCGTCAAAAACTTTATATTTTCAATCTGCTGTGACTTTTTGGTGATTGAATCTGATTTAAAAAAAAGAGATCTCAAATTTACCTCGTCTCATCGAAATGCATCAACTTGAGAGAAATAATCATAACCGATAGCATAGGGGGTCATACATATCTCGCGGCAGGCCTCAGCCTGAGCTTGGAATGAGCTCAAGTGGAGTCCAGCCCCTGGTTAAAATTTAGTCATATTGGTTTTTCCCTCAATGTTTACCACAGAACATTGCTTTTTGAGATCAAATTATGCTTCAAGATGAAATGAGTAACATAAAGACGAGACAGAATTCGTTTCCTAGCACAGAAGGAAATGCTGCAGAAATCAGTACATGTTTACACTGCATTTGACATTAACACTGCATTTCCATTTTGAAATGGTAAGTAGCATAGCTACAGGAAATGAATTAGTTACGGTTATTAGAAATTATTTGGAAAGAAAGAATGATTTATTCCGAGGTTTTACGAGATGTCAGCGCTTGTGGAATGAAAATAATGACGAGAATCGCAGGAGAATTTTGGTGATGATGCATGATTTTCTTTAATAACACTTGGAATAATCAGGAAAATAGAGGAATAAGACGCTGCAATAGATCGCTTACATCTCGCATAGATAGATTGTAATAATGACTTTTACGATCGATTACGCAGATTCGGATCGGTTCATTAATTCACTGAATTCTCTGATGTAATCATTTGAAATGCACAACCGATCTAAGAACAAAACTGGAAGTGCGATGAATCCAGCAACCCAGAGGAGGGTGCTGATTAGTGAAGGTGGTGGTGAATTGACTGAAGATGAGATGGCTGGACTGATATCGAATGATGAATCTGAACAACAAACCGAACGCGTCACTCATCTGGTTGACAATGATCTCAACTATACAACGGTTAATATTGATTGATTTCGTTGAATTATAATAATTTTGTGAAATAAAGTGATAGGTAACAGTGAGGATACAGAAGGAAATTATTACTGTCGTGAATTCACCACAGTTTTAATCATTTTGATCGAGATGTGAGGTGTTGTTTGTGATATCTTTTGTTGCAGTTTCCGACTGTTATCATTCAGTAAACGGATCCCATGAATTCAATCTAAGACCGCGAAAAAACGAGAGTTTATTTGAGGTGGAAGTTTATTGTCCCGTTGTAAGGTGAAACAACTAAAGGTGTTACACTCACGGTAGAATTAAAATTTCCAGGAATTTCCTCATGGGAAATGAACAGATTCCAAGCAAACTTTTAGAGTCGATCTCCTTCGCTATGTCAGTTTAAGTAGATTTCATGGGTTCCTGTAGAGGTCGTATGTTGAAATGATACTGACTAGAATGCGCCGATTATGAACAATTTTTTGAGTCAAAAAGCTTTCTTCTGATGTTCACGATTTTTGAGCAATGAAAATTTCAGATTCCATTAGAAGTGCTGGAAGCAGCAGGTATTGATGTTGACAATGTAGGCGAACTGTCAGAAGAACAAATGAGTACAATGCTCGCTTTAGCCTCATCAGCTAGTGCGCAGCATCATTTGAGCACAACCTCTCAACGAGCCAACCAACGAATACCACCTCCGTCATCACATAAAAGATCTGCTTCTCCTGTCGTTCATTCCGATCCGGTTGATAATCTCACAATGGTGATTTCTGAAGATGGATCTCTTAAATTAACTGATTCTGCGCAGCAGAATTTCTTCGTAAGTTGTTGTGTTTTTTGAATGAGAGTTCAGTAGTTATGTGCAAGCGGATTCCACTGTTCGTATTTGTCTTTTGAACGGAACAGTTTGTGGAACTCATCTTTGAAAGGTGATCAGTTATGTTCTAAGAACACTTGATCAGTTTATTTCGATGATTTTGCATTCCATTGCACTACATGTTTGTATTTGCAGTTTTCAGCCGAACAGCTCGCTGCACATAACATCGATGTCAACAATTTGACAGATGAAAGTATTCAACAAATTGTTCAACTGGCAATGCCATCTCTAGACATGTATTCACTCCTATGATTTGTGCAAAACTTGTTTCATTTTGACCGAACTTCCTAACCATTTCCGAGAATAATTAAACAATCTTGTATGATTGTTCGCTGCTGTATACAATCTTGTCGTTATTCATCTGAGTTTAAATGAAATCGCATACAGTTTTGCGTTATCAATTATCATGTTTGGCTATTCGTGAAATGATTTGTATATTTTTCTTAATTGCTTGAAAGTAGTGTGCATAATTAATATTTGAGGGGTAAGACGGCAGAGCAGAAACGACGGAAGCTGGATGCAAATGCGACAGTGGTTAGCTCAGCGCAGCTGTCTTACAGCACTGCTTTATCTCAGGTTTTCATTTCTTGTGTTCCCATGAATATTGCTTTCATTGCTCATCATCTATACTGCTCATATTCTTCATACATTTGATTTGAAATTATCATTCGTTGATTCTGAACTCTTGGATTATCAGTTTTTTTGGGATATACTTTTCACTTCATTCATGTGGATGTATGGTGCAACCGATCAAGGTAAGCGCAGAAGAAAAAGATTAGCAAATCGGTGAGGAGTAGTATAGTAGTATCGATCTACTTTTGTGTTTAGCCTTCTGTCAAGTTATTTTTTCGCAAGCAGATGAAATTTTTGACGAGAAATTCCAACGATAATTTTTCAGTCATCTTTCCAAATGGATGCGCAAAGTTCATCATCGATACCGGCTGCAAAAGTTGCTGCCCTTCCAAGTCAGTCAGGTTCATGTTTTTTAAAAATATTTTTCTCTTGTTTCTTGTTTCAGTGCCGTGCATTTTCAGGGGGTCTGTTCGCGTAAACAGTGAAGCCAAAAAGTTTTTTCTCTCTATACAATTCGTAGTTTTGAAAGACAATACGAAGTAATTTATGGGGATACGTAATGCTCCAGTAAAAATTAGAAAACGTCGAAAGATGCTAAAATTTGTGAAATTTTTTGGGATGTCGAATTCAGTTCTAAAATTGCAATGTGATATCCGAAAGATAGGGAAGGGAATACAATGCTGTTCTAAGTTCCAGGTACATTTCTCACCCTTGATTCTATGCGAGGTCAACCGTTGCTTACATTTTCAGATGACCATAACCGCGTCGATCAGTTGGCGCTAATTGGTGAGGAGGTTGAAGTGAAGAAAAATGGTAAGAATGTACCAGCAACAATACGTTATTGTAGGCACAGTGGTGGTTATAAAGTTCAGTTCGCAGATGGCCACTTCGAGTGGGTTACCCAGGATCAGATTCAACTTATTGGTAACATTCTTCTGAAGATAAAGCTTAACTTCAATGTAAAAATGATTTCGATATGTTTGGGTGTCGCTTTTCCAAATGTGAATCATAACTAAAAGAGAGATGGTTCATTAAGTGACTCCTGAATGTTTCCGACTCAAAACTCGTTTTTTTTTCAGTCACAAAAAGACTTTCCAAGCTGCATTTCTGAAAGAGTTACATATAGTAATGACAAAAGAAGGTCAGCTTTTTGCTAAATTGAGTAGTTTGTTTAGGTGGCACGAAAAATAGAAGTGATCATGAGTCGTATAGTGGTTCGTCAGAAATGGAGATGACACGAACAAATGCGATCGGAAGTAGTGGAGTGGGAAGGCGAGCGCCACCTGCTATTCCTGGTTGTTGATGCTTTCTTTGAATAAATTATCCTCGGATAAATTCTTATTTCATTCTGTCTAACATCGTCCATTGTTTAACATGATTGTGAAGCGTTCGTTGGTTATTTCCCCTTATCAAATGCTGGTTGCCTTCAATCTTTAATGTGTCTACCAACTTACAGCAAGGTATACATAACAGAAATGTTAACGTTAATGTTAAGGTAATTGATGCAGACAGACATTGATAATAATTTTCCTCAAATTCAGGTATAAAAGTGACTCCATCAAATGGTTTCGAGAAAGAGGGTGAGCCAAACTTTTGCTGTGTAATTTGCGATCGGAAGGTTTATCAAAAGGTTTTCTTTCGTCATTATCTTCCAATTGTTATTATTCTATTGTTTGGTTGGCTGAAAAAAGGCAAATATATATTAAATCTATCCCAATATTTGCGAAAAATCATTGGTCAGCATCGAAATATGATTCCTAACCAATTGATTAGTTGAATGCATTATATGCTTCTAGAAAAGTTTGCAAAAAAGTACTATTTGATTTGTTAAGCCATTCAATTTAGGAACCACAGTACATCGTTATTCGAGTACCAGCGTGTGATGCTTGTACGGAGAAGAAGATAATGGTGTTGGATACTGGAACAGAAGAACGAGGTATCCAGTGCTCACCATCACCCTTCGAATTGACTGATCAAACTGGTGCGGATCGTGTAGTCGAGCAGATACAAACGTGTGAGAATGTAATGCCAAATCAAACGCTTAAACAACGTTCTCAGTCGAACATCATAGATACCGCTGAACGAAGCGCCTCTCTTATAGATTTTGCATCACCACAAATTGTACCACTCAATAATAATATGCCACATTTGAATGATTCAGATCACAACAGCTAGTCTCTGGCGCCTTTTTATGCCGTTTTAGATAATATATACGTTTAGGATGAGTTAGTAGATTAAAGAATTATTCTTTATCATGTGAAGTAACCACTTAAAATGGGTCATTCAGATTGGTTTTTGTTTGAAAGCAACTATCCGATTCTGTTTAAGTAAGATTTTATAATCGTACTGATAATGAGATTCCGCTAGCTAGACGTGCCCACAGATCGTCAGTAGCTCACTTCTAATATCTCAGCAGGCCGGGCACTTCCAGATATGTTGTTATTTAATTTACTTTTGTGAAAAATATCTTTGAAATACAGTCCTGGAATCTATTTTCAGTCAGTAATTTCGTAGTTAACTTACTAGTTAACTCCGAGTTGTGGTATTGGGATTGTATCTGAATAGAAAGTTGCAATTCCTCAATTACATCGGTAGATTATATGTTAGGTTTTCGGTTTCTATAATTGAACTTCTCAACACAATAATTAAGCTTCGGGCTCAGCTTTCATGCGCCTTCGTGTCCGAATTAATAGCAAGCCAACGAAACTAATCATTCAGTTGCAATTTACTCAGTTATGATATCGCTGAGTCGAATGATCAGTCATGTGAAGTGATGAATTTGAGGTGGGCAGTGAGTGGAATTCAGTTGATTTATGCATTATGAACGCTTTTTAGGCAATATTCAAGTAACGTTTATTGTGCATGATTCCACTCTGAGGGATTTGAACAATGAGTAATTGCACGATTTTGAACAGTATTTGTAAATTAGAAGTGACAAATCTAGTTCTGTAAGAGGAAGAGCTTCTCTTGAAAGATCAAATCTTTCAAAAGATTATCGGCCGTCATTGTTTTGTACAATCTTTATAACCTTTCATAATTTCCCAGTCAAGTATTTGATATTATTTTGGTTCCACATAAGCGTAACAAGGTTTATTCATGATTTGCTGTAATATATTGGTAGCATCTGTACATTATTTTTTAATACCGTGTGAATTGTATGAATACGAAAATGTTCATCCATATTCACATTCTTGGCGCATGATTGAAAATTAATTCTATTTTTGTTTAGATTTTGATCAGTGTATTCAAAAATTTTGAAACACATTCCTCTGAGTAGTAGAGTGGTGTAAGGATGTTCCAAGGTGAAAATGCATCATTATGATGAGGAACTGATGAAGGTGGTATATATTTGATAGAGCTTTATGGAATGTATGAAGAAATTCATGAAAGTGGTCTGTGGAAGTATATCAGAAAATAATTATGGCAGTGATGCTTTCACTTTTGCTATGTAATGATTTTATTGTAGTATATCACTTGCTGATAACTCCGCTGTAACCTTACGAACCGAATGTTGTCCTCTAAATTGTTAAGTTGAGGAGGAGGAATCCTTCAAAAGAAAGAAATGTGACTGTTTCATATTGATATGTTTATTGTTAAGCACTTGAAATGTTCTATTATGCGGGTCTAAACATTCAGTTATTTCTTAAACTTTGCATTCGTTCCAGTTTTCCTGCTGTATATTTACTGTAAAATGCGTCTTAAAATTTGATAGTTTTCTTATTTCATAAATTTCGTTGTTTAAACTTTTTTTAAATGTCTGTTTGACTCTAAAAATACCGCCAAAGGTGGGTTCCTTATATAATTGTATGATTAGAGCAGGTTCGAGTTATGAGCCTAATCGTACACAGTTTTGCAAGTGTTGAAGTGGTGAAAGGAACTGAATCGGGAATGCATTATTCACAATCACTTATTCTAGGAAGTTCTGTAGTGTCATAGCTACATTTAATGTTGTAAAAGGTGGTCATTTTAGCTTTGCACAGATGAGTCGAGAGGTGAAAGCAATGAATTAAAAACAAGTGAAGGGAATAGCTTGTACAATTATTCTCTCGTACCCTCACCTCACTCCCGAGCCCGTTCGTTACATATTCGGATAACGGTGATCATTCGAGCCGTACGAAGCAGATTGGCCAGGCTTCGTTACTAAGACCCGCATTACGTGCATTTTCCCAACCGTATTCCCCAATTAAACATCGATGCAGCGAACATGGAACACATTAGTATCGGGTATGAAAACTGATTGTAATCTCCAATCTTCTTTTACTTCAGCATTATTCAAGCACTTTTTCGGGTCGTGCTTAGGGTTTGTACGGGATTCCGAGATTACAGTTCTGATCCCGATCCCGGGATTTCGGTTTTGAAAAATCCCGGGATTTCGGGATTTGATAAAACAGGTCAATTTGCGTGAATTTTGATAGTATGTTCATCTTGAAGTAAGCCTTAATCATTCCCACCTCATTCATATGCAGTCATTTTTGCTGTTTGCTCTCTATCATTGATGAACAGCTAAGGAAATACATGCAGTTTGAACGAATGACATAATCAACGACAGCTCGATGAACTTTTACGTAACATTT